AGAAATATAAACTTCACTTTAAAATCATTATTATTGTTTGGATTTGATCTATGACTTAAATTTTGGAAACTAATACTAATATGTTATATATTTATTAAGGAATTTAATGGTTTGGTTGCTAAAATATTGAAAGAGAAAATTATTTGGGTGGTCAAAATGTCAGCAGCCTGAAAATTGAGTAATTGAAACATTAACCATTTTTAGCACTTCAAAATTTAAGTGACAAAATTGGAAGAAATTTTTGGGTGACCAAAACGTTAACAACTTAAAAATTGGGTCATCATTTAGATAATATACCAAAAGAAAAAAAAAGGAGAGGGAGAGATGATATACGTGAACCGGTTACTTCCCAGAGTTGCATCTCGCCCCTCTCATAGTGCGCTCAGTGGCGGATGCACTGCCCCATATGAGTAAAGTGTATCCTATTATTTTGAATTTGTAATTAAATTTAGATTAATGTGTAAAAAAAAGAAAAAATTATAATTTTTACATATTTATTATTATTTAAAAAAAAATAGACTTCTATTATTAAGTTTCTAAATCCGTCACTAAATACGTGTAGGCCGAATGATAATAAGGATAAGATGACCGGACAACGTTTTTCATTGGCCATTTCAACGCATTCTTGCTACTCGGTGAGAAATCCATAGCCACCCCTACTCTCCGTTCAGCCGCCGCCATTTCTCTCTCTCTCTCTCTCTTCTCAACGAAGATATATTCGCTAAGAAGTTTTTTGGAATTTTTGTGTATTTTCTTCTTCTTATGGATTGATCTGTGTTACTTCATGCTGAGAAAATCTCAGTTTGTTTTTCCGACTTCAAGAATGGAAAACAGCCAGATAAATAGGGAATCCACGAAGATGGAAAACGAAAGGAGCGTGAGTTTAGTGAAAGAATAGGGACGATATCTGGAAAAAGTCTTGTTCAAGCGTGGAGTATACGGTTTGTGGTTGGTCTATGGTGTTCCGATCTTTTTGAAACCGCTTGATGGAGAACCGGAAGGATTTTGATTTAGATCAAACGGTGACTATTGTGCATGTTCGATAATGGTTATTATATTCGTTGGGTAAACTACCTATTTAGTCACCTACTTATTCTGGTATTTCCTTTTTAGTCACCTAATTATTTATTTTTTCAAAATTATACCTAACGTTAAATTTTTCTATTTTGATCACCCATAATTAGGTTATTCATTGTATCAATTCGATCATAATTTCATCATTTCAGTTCGATCAATAATTAAATCTAATTATATGTGATCAAACTAAAAAATGAACTGTAACATTTAGTATGGTTTTGAAAACAAATAGTTGAATGATCAAAACAGAAATGCAAGAATAGGTGAATGATTAAAGAGATAAATTACCATATATTTTTGTCATTTCCGAATGAACATTATACATCTTTTTTAAAAATTCACGGAATATTAAAAGAATAAAAAACTTCAAATAATTTAATAGAATTAATGGGTAAACTACACGGGAGACCACCAAACTATAGTCATTAATCAATCTTACCATCGAACTATTTTTGTCTCAATTCGACCACCAAACTTTTTAATTGATTCAATCAGACCATCGCACCGTTAATTTTAACAGACTTGGTGACGTGTCTGTTAATAATATTGGCATAATTATATATTTGATCCTTAATATTTACATATTCTATCAATTTAGTCACTATTTTAATTCAATTAAATAAATATAACTATCCAATTAAAACATGACACGTGTCAATACATGATTGAAAGATTTATTTATGAATTTTAAATATGAGCCCAAGGAGAATTAAACCTATGTATGTGGAAGAGAGTAACCAAGCGCCCAAACCGTTGGGCCAAAGCTTTCCAATGGTTTTAACTTACAACAATTTTTATTTAACTTGTAAAAGTTTGTTAATGATAAAAAAATTAAACAAATTATTTGTTTAAATAAATTATTTTTTCTTTAACCGTTAATTGAACCGAAATTTATTTGAAAATTATTAACCGAACCAAATTAACCGTTAATCGGTTAATAATTTTCAAATTAACCAAATATATTTGAAAATTATTAACCGAACCGAAATTATTTGACCGTTAATCGAACCGAAATTAATTTAAAAATTATTAATCAAACCAAATTAACCGAATTTTTTTCTTTAACATTAATCGAACCGAAATTATTTGACCTTTAATCGAACCGAAATTTATTTGAAAATTATTAACCGAACCAAATTAACCGTTAATCGATTAATAATTTTCAAATAAACCAAATTAACCAAATTTATTTGAAAATTATTAACCGAACCGAAATTATTTAACCGTTAATCGAACCAAAATTATTTGACCGTTAATCGAACCGAAATTTATTTGAAAATTATTAAGTGAACCAAATTAACTGAATTTTTTTCTTTAACATTAATTAAACCGAAATTATTTGAAAATTATTAAACGAATTTTTTTCTTTAACCATTAATCGAACCAAAATTATTTGACCGTTAATCAAACCCAAATTTATTTGAAAATTATTAACCGAATTAACTGAATAAAATAAATTATTTTTATTTATCCGTTAATCGAACCGAAATTTATTTGAAAATTATTAACCGAACCAAATCAACCAAGTTTTTTCTTTAACCATTAATCGAACTGAAATTATTTGACCGTTAATCGAATCGAAATTTATTTGAAAATTATTAACCGAATTAATCGAATAAAATAAATTATTTTTACCTTAACCGTTAATCGAACCGAAATTTATTTGAAAATTATTAACCGAATCAAATTAACCAATTTTTTTTCTTTAACCATTAATCGAACTGAAATTATTTGACCGTTAATCGAATTGAAATTTATTTAAAAATTATTAACCGAATCAATTTAACCAATTTTTTCTTTAACATTAATCGAACCGAAATTTATTTTAAAATTATTAACCGATTAACGGTTAATTTGGTTTGGTTAATAATTTTCAAATAAATTTCGGTTCGATTAACGGTTAAAGAAAAATAATTTATTTAAACAAATAATTTGTTTAACTTTTTTTTAATTAATAAACTTTTACAAGTTAAATAGAAATTGTTATAAGTTAGAATCACTGGGGAGCTTTGGCCCAACAGTTTGGGCGCTTGGTTACTCTCCCCCACAGACGCATGTTTGATTCTCTCTAGGCGCATATTTATTTTTCAATTTTCCAATTCAATCGGGTGGTGACATGTGTCACCACATGATTGGTTAAAAATTAGTTAATTAAATAATTTAAAATTTATAAATAAATCTTCTAATCATGTATTGATACGTGTCATGTTTTAATTGGATAGTTAAAATTATTTAATTGAATTAAAATAGTGACTAAATTGATAGAATACATAAATATTAAGGATCAAATATATAATTATGCCAATTTTATTAACGGACACGTCACCAAGTCTATTAAAATTAACGGTGCGGTGGTCTGATTGAATCAATTAAAAAGTTTGGTAGTCGAATTTAAACAAAAAATAGTTTGGTGACAAAATTAATTAATGACCATAATTTGGTGTCCGTGTAGTTTATCCAGAATTAATTGATCAAAACTAATATCAGAACTGAGAATACATAATTTGAAATGTAGAAGGATTATAACACATTAACCTTGTATAAAACTTGATCCATTTCAAGACCGCAACATCAGTCGATCGGTCAATGGAACCCATCCCTCGACGTCGATCCTTCTCAAAGATCGCAGCATCAACCCAACAACACCAAGATACATCAACAGCAGGTACCTGGGGCTGTTGAACGCAATGAGCAGCGTGAACCGCCTAAACTTGCGACTGAGCAGCGTGCCATTCCTGATGAAACTGCAATGCAGCTGGCAGCAGCACCTCGAAGCAACAGCCCGATTACTCCACATTAACTCGTTTCGAGTCCACCATAGTCGCCAGAAAATTCCTCAACTACTACCTTTGAGTCCCGTTCTGCTAATGCCTTAAAACAGTTAACAAAAGATCCATTATGAAGCACAACAACATGGTTCCATATCCTCCAGCAATCCATTGCATACGAACGGTGCAAAACAGCACGGGAAGCATCCTCGAGAGCAGAGCAAAGAGAACAATCTTCAACAATATCAATACCCAGTAGCCCTCAATCGATCTTTTGTCGGTAAAATATTGCGCAAAGCACGACACGAAAACTCTTTTACCTTCGGTGGTACTCCAACTTCCATAGACAATTCCAATTAACCAAGTTGGGATCAAACAAATGTTCGCCATACAAACGTCAGCAACATGGTTCCCTGATTTTACCTTATAGGCTCGTCTACGATCAAAGTGTCGAATAAGCTTGCCATGTGCATGTCTAGACGTGATTGAGATTGTAAAAATTGCAACTTCCATTTCAACAAACAATTACTCTAACCGTAGCATGTTTCACGTATAATAAATATCGATCCAAATTTTTTAAGGCTACAAGTGAGTTTATATATATATATTAAATCCATTTACACCTAACATAAATTTTTTAATTTTATATTTTCAAGATTGGTGATGTGTGGAATAAATATGAGAATATCTTTTTTTTATTATTCAGTAAATATCTTTTCATTTCTTATTTTAATATTAAACGTCTATTTTTTATCATCTAATTATCTTGAAAATGTATAAAAATAAAATTTTAAATGATACATACAAATCATATCTCAAATATATATATATATATATATATATATATATAGGTCAGATTAAATATAATTTTTATTACAAAAATTAGATCAAATGAATAACTTTTAAACTCGAATTAAATAGTAACAGGTGGAGAAATGCAATATTAAGATCTCAGTTGGAAAAAAAATGCTCTTTCTGAAACCTGACCAACATACATCTTAATTCTAAACCTCTAAAAAAATTCAAATTACAATAATTGCCATTGCTTATTCACTGAAAAAGGATAGCGATTGTCCCAAAACAGAATCTAATTTTTTTCCCTTTTAAATCAAAAACATTTTCGCTCTTTCATTTATAAAAAAAAAAAATCTTAATTCACTACATATCCGAGAATAACAGAAAGAAATTGCTCACCTTTTATAGTTTACTTAGAGAGCAGTTCTTCAGTCATCTTCAAGATCAAAAGTTTACCCTCTCTGGAGATCGAAAATGATGGCGTTTTGGTGGCCGATCATCGTTCTCGCCTTTGCTTATGCGATCTGTCGTTTCTTATGCTCATTCCCCCAAATGTTCCATCCATTGATGTCGATGCCTCCGACGGTACGTATACGGATACTGAGAATACGTATAAATTGTTCTCTTTGCTTGCAAGTATTCTTTTACTTGCCGCAGCTAATAATTTTTTCTTTTATTTTTTTAATATAGTGTTGGATGACGGGAACCAAACTCAGGAAAACAGCTTTATTTACGTGAGTATTTCTTTGTTGCTTATATTATTTTTGATTAATTTCCAATTTGTTTTCCCTTTTTTTAAAGTAATTTACTCAATTCGAACTTTAAAGATTGTGTTTGTTCTGTGGAATTTTGTTTTTATTACTTAAACGAGCTTAATGATTGTCGAATTAATGTATTAGCTTAGCGAGCTATTACAATGTGGTTCATATTCAAACCTATTTCCTAGTTAAATCTTAAATCAGAGTATTTTTTTTAATTACTTTCTTTTAGTGGACTGAAATGAATCTAAGATAAATCCGATTGGAATTGATTTCGTAATCGAGTGTAACTTTTGCATGTAAAATTAGAATATGAGTTTTTCATACGATAATTCCTTAGTTCCTTTTTATTTTTAAATGAAATAAATGATTATCAATTTAATGAAATAACTTAAACAACTATTACAATGTGGTTGAAATTCAAGCTCTCTTTTTTCTATTAAATCTTAAATTGGAATATGTTCCTGTTCTTTTTAAATAAAATACTTCCGGACTTCCTGTTACTGGAATGAAATGAATCTAAGGTAAACCCGATTGAAATTGATTTGTTAATTGAAAGTAAATTTTGCATGTAAACTTAGAATATAAACTGTGTATGATAAATTTGTAGTTGAGCTTTATGAATCTACCGATGTGTTTGATTGTGTACTTTTTACTGATTGCCTTTTACTTTTGGGAGAGGGAAAAAAAAGAGTTATAAGCAAAAGAGTGTAGCTTTTGGTTATTTGAATCTCATGTGGAAATGCTGTGCAGATACCGCCGAGGGGAAGAACACAACAATCAGACAGAAAAGTTCAATGCTATGAGCCAGCTACTATGAAGTACTTAGGCTATTTCCCAGCATTAACACCTGCCGAGGTTAGTGGTGTTCTGCTAAATTTACTAGAATTACTAATGAAAGAGTATTTAAATGTTCATTGCTAGACACTAAATGGTTCACATTGTTATTTTTTTGCCGAAGCTTCTGGCTGGGTGTGTGTACATACATGTAGACCACAGATCACTTCAGTGTTTGCTTGTTTGTGTGAATGGATGTATAATGTTTCTACTGCTCATTGTAATAACTGTCTCTATGGTATGCTTAGGTCAAGGAGCGTGTGGCACAAGCCCGGAAAGCACAGAAGATTTGGGCAAGAAGTAGTTTCAAGCAAAGGCGACAGTTTTTGCGGATTCTTTTAAAATATATTCTTAAACACCAAGAGCTTATATGCGAGTAAGGATTATCTTCTTTATATGGAGAGTGATTTTCTTTTTCTTTTCTCATTTGCTCTTTTTCTCACATTAAAAACTTTATATTCTGCAATTTTCTTTTATGTATTTTCTATTTTCTGTATGCCAGAAAAGTTAAATGTGTTACTTGAATGCCTTTATGTGACCTATTGTTCTATTTTCTTGCTTAAGAGTCTCTTCACGTGATACTGGGAAAACAATGGTCGATGCCTCTTTAGGAGAGATCATGACTACATGTGAGAAGATAACCTGGCTTCTTTCAGAGGGTGAAAAGTGGCTCAAGCCTGAATACCGGTAGTTCCTGGTTTTGAATTTTATTTCTCCTTTCTAGATATTCTTGACTGTATCCAGGCAAGAGATTATCCATAATTGCATGCATCTTACTTATTATCAGTGAATTTGTAGACTCCACTGACCTTTATTTGCTTGTGGAAATCAAGCAGTTACTTGTTGCATGCGTTTGCTTTGTTGTGCCATCAACGTTCTGTCTGCAAACTTTGTGTCATAATCATTGAAAATGAATGCTTTTATTCTACAGTAGCATTATTTTCAATTCTTATTTTTTAAAAAATTAGCTTTTAAGTGGCTTACTATTATTTTGGAATTGGTTACCAGTGTTTGCTATCACTAAACTCTGTGTTACTATGTCAATATTCATTTGAACTTGTGCAGATCTTCTGGAAGATCAATGCTTCACAAGATATCCAAAGTGGAATTTCACCCGCTTGGGGTAATTGGGGCTATTGTTTCATGGAATTACCCTTTTCATAATATTTTTAATCCAATGCTTGCAGCTGTGTTCTCAGGAAATGGTGTGGTAATTAAGGTACTTAATGATGGATCCTAATGCTTTAGTCTATTTTTATCCTTTATCTTTATTAGTCCAGAACTGCTCTCTTGTCTCACTTGAGTTGACAGTTATTTCTTTACACTTTATCACTATGTGATTGTAAGTGTAGGTTTCCGAGCATGCAAGCTTTTCTGGATGTTTCTACTTTCGGATAATCCAAGCAGCTCTTGCTGCTGTTGGAGCTCCTGAAATCTGGTTGAGGTAATTACAGGGTATGTATTTATCCCAATTATTCTGGACATACTATGCTCTTGGTTTCTATTCATCTAATTTTAATTGACTTCTCTTTCATAGCTTTGCTGAAACAGGAGAAGCGTTGGTATCTTCTGTTGACAAAATCATATTTGTTGGGTCACCAGGTGTAGGGAAGATGGTATGATCTCATGAATGGCTTTTCTGTATTAAATTTATTTATTTTCTCGATATTAATTACAAATTTGATTTCACCTTCCCATTATTCAGTTTGGATTTTATCATTGTCTGTTACGTGATCTTCAAGCATGTTATGATACTTTACAAGCATATTTTGAGAACTACTGTTCTTTAATACTAATAAACTACTTTACAAGCGTACTTTACCTTGATGGGACTTCTTTTATTGTTTTAAGTGCAAATGGATTAACATGTTTGCTTTTATTGCAGATAATGACAAAGGCTTCTGAGACCCTTATACCAGTTACACTTGAGCTTGGTGGGAAAGATGCTTTTATTGTGTGCGAAGACGTAGATATTCCACACGTAGGAACCTTTTCCACCTGTTTTGACAACTAATATGGTTTAACATATCTATATTTTGATTGAGAGCTGAAAGCACACTGATCAGTGCTGTTGAGAGTGACTATTTTCCATGATGTAGGTTGCGCAAGTTGCTGTTAGAGCCGCTCTTCAATCAAGTGGACAGAACTGTGCTGGTGCTGAGAGATTTTATGTTCACAGGGATATTTGTACTTCATTTGTCAATCAAGTGGCTAAGATTGTGAAGTCCATTTCAGCTGTAAGATGTCCCTTCAGATACATTCTCCGTAAAAGATGTGTGTCTGTTTGGCCCAGTAATAGTTTGTTCTCTACAATGTTACTTAAAATTTAAATCTAAATCAGTGTTGTCAAGGCATGTGCTACCTGCACCTTTCGCCTTAGCATTTTCAATAAAAGTTCCTCAATCGGTCAATCCTTTTTGGGTCAGGTTCATTTGGTCAGGCGCATGCTTAATGCGCCTTGGCATGCTTTTTTTGTAAGGCGATAGGCATAAAAAAAGCCCACCTGATTGAATTTTATCTTTAATTTCATTTATTTTTCACTTTCTTGTTTCATTTGATATACTTTTACTACTAAGAAAAGGATAATATCAAACTCTATAGTTCGTAATATTTGAGCATTTAACAACAAATATTGACAGTTAGGAAATCATGCATATCGTCCGATGAAATGGTTGCATGTTTTGTAGATAAACTAGACTCCACTTTAGAGTATATTGTATATCTTAAGCGCTATATATATACACATACATGTATGTTACAAAAACTCTCAGTCATTCATATTTCGGTTTACTTCACTCAGGGTAGCGCTTTTTTGCATGTTGTAAGGTTTTAAGCACATAGAGTGCCTCTTGCACCCTTGACAACATTGATCTAAATGTTTACCCACTATCTGTGGCCATTTGGTTGTTGCATAAGTCCGTGGCTGATAAACTAGAAACTGCATTGACAGCTTTCTGTTAGGTCTATAAATTGTGTGCTTACTTCTGGAGTTGCAAGTGGTACACTGATTGTTGAACTGCCATTATTTTATGAACTAACTCAGCCTTTTGTGAAATGAAATTAGATTTCTGATATTTGGATATCTTTTATAGGGCCCACCACTTGCTGCAAGATATGATATGGGTGACATATGCTTGCAAGAGCATTCTGAAAAGCTTCAACACCTTGTAGATGATGCTGTAGACAAAGGGGCTGAAATTGTGGCTCGTGGAAGTTTCGGCCATCTAGGTGAAGGTGCAGTTGATCAGTTTTTCCCTCCGACGGTGCTCATAAATGTAAACCACACGATGACGTTGATGCAAGAAGAGGTAAGCAAAGTGTTGCTATTTTTATTAGATTAGAAAACCAATGAATACTCCTCTGAAAAGGAAGGCCTGTGAACATGTGTATGTGTCTATGTGGGGAGTGTGTGCTAATTTGTTATAAACTCGAGTGGCATGCAGACTTTTGGACCAATCATGCCGATAATGAAATTCAGCACAGATGAAGAAGTTGTCAAGCTTGCAAATGATTCAAGATATGGGCTTGGCTGTTCTGTTTTTTGGGGCTGTCAAAGGCGTGCCAAGGAGATAGCTTCCCAAATACATTGTGGAGTTGCTGCAGTTAATGATTTTGCATCAAGTTACATGTGCCAGGTACTCTTCTTTTCCTTCTACTACCGTGTACAAGATAGCCACCTTTCATATTTGCTTGAGTGTCCATCAAATTTTCTTCCAGTCCCTGCCTTTTGGTGGCGTAAAAGATAGTGGGTTTGGGCGATTTGCCGGTGTTGAGGGATTAAGAGCTTGCTGTCTGGTGAAGTCAGTCGTTGAGGATAGATGGTGGCCTTATATAAAGACCAAGATACCAAAGACCATTCAGGTCAGCCTTGCATCCTTACTGCTTTCATTTGATGATTATTCTTTTAACATGTTGAGACTACGAACTTCTAGCTTGACTTGAGATTCGAGTCTTGAAATTTAACTTGAGCTTGATTTGAGATCATGATTGAACTGCTCAAACTCACTCGATTAGGCTCATTTAACCAGTAAAAGAAAAGATCGAATTCTTTTCGAGCGATTTGCTGGAACAAAGTGCTTTGTTTAGGAGACTAAGAATGTATATTTCTTTTTGTATGCCAAACACTAGTATCCAGTTGCTGAAAATGGGTTCGAGTTTCAAGAATCGCTGGTCGAGGCGCTTTACGGGTTGAACATTTGGGACCGACTACGAGCACTGGTGAATGTTCTGAAGATCATTTCGGAGCAAAATCCTGTTGCAAGTAGCAAGAGAAATGCTTGAGTTCCACACTCTAAATGAGTTCGTTCCTACTTTCTCGAGCATTTATATTTCGGTAATCTAATGGTGTCTTCATAACCTTTTTCTAAAGCCTTTAAATGTACTCTTTTTGGGGGGCAATATCTCTCCATCTGACCGTTACATAAGTTGCTCGTTCCAACAAACTCAATTGTTCAGGTTTTACTTTATTTCCTTGCATCAAATTTTCTTTACTCATAACAATTTCTAATTATTTTTTTGAGTATAATTATCGGTATTTGAGCTATTAGTTGATTAATGAATTTGCTCCGTTCAAAATATTAGGATTCAAACCTCGGACGTTATTTTAAGATCTAGCATCTCTTCATATTTAACAAACTTTTTTGTAATCTTCTTAGAATTCCCTGACGATGGGAGATGTTAGACCCTTTAAACAACATTCAGGGTTTAGATTTGGTTGCCCCTATAATAGATTTATGTAACATCTGATTCGGATTAATCACTTAATGGATTGGATTGTATAACTAATTATAATTTTGAATATTTTTTATATTTTATTTTCAGATTGTTTTGATTTTTTTTGTAATGATTAAAGATTGTTTTAGCATTTTTTATAAAAATATTGGAATTTTTATAATTATTTGAAATCAATTTCCTATATTTTTTAGAATCGAGTATGCATTAAATATAATCAAGCATGCATTAAATTTAATTAGGTATTGTTTCATTTAGAGTACTTATTTGATCGTAAATTTTTAAATAAAGAGACAATTGAAGTATACTTTCATGCCAGAATTATTTGATTTCTGCCTAATTTACGAAAGATCAATTATTATATAAATCATACACAAATATAAATAATTATGAACATGCTCAAAATATATATATATATATTTGTTAAACATGAATATGCTCAAAATATATTTTGACGTTGATGTTTAGACGAATATACAAAAGCAATGAACATAAACAAATCTTTACAGTGGTTAAAAAGAAAACCCTCAAATTTCTTGTCGCAGTGTCACATTGATGATCCCTTCAGGAGATGTAGGCCTGTAATGTCTATCGGTATCAACCTCTTCAATTTCCTAAACGCCCAACATTAAAGGTTTTGTGTGAGCATTTGTCTTTAATCATACAATTTAAAATTAATCGAACGAGTTTAAGTAATTTTCTAATCAAACTCAAGCTTAAAAGTAAGACTTGAATGAGCTCAAGCTAGACTTGGTGTTCTGAATTCGAATAGAGTAAAGTCGAATTTTACTCGATTAGATAATACCACTAAAAAAAGAACAAGTCTTTACCTGAACCACATCTTCGCCCTTGATGACTCGTCCGAACACAGTTAGTTTCTCGTTTAAATCCGGTATTGGTGCAGTTGTGATAAAAAGCTGAAATGCCTTGCCATCTTCTTTAATCTTTGTGGTTCCAACCATAAAAGCTTCATGTTTTAGACTGTTTTATCACGAGCAAAGATTTTGAGTTATAAAACACACACATACACAGCAAGGGCAAAGACACAAACACATATATAGACGTACACATACATACATAATATGCATGCCAAGAAAATGTAGATTAAAGATGACCTTATGGGGAGCCGCCTGTGAAGCTTTGTTTTTGATGTCCAATCTTCAATGCCTCCAAGTTCTTGTGAATGTCCTCCTAGAATCACATAGTTTTTTATCACGTGGTGGAAAGGCATGCCCTTGAAATGCCCCTTTTGACTGCAAAATCCATTCGGTTTAGGATCTTTGATGAATATGAATGACAAATATCGACTTATTATTGTGAAAATTAAACATCTTTCAAGAGTCATATCTAAGTATATATTCCAATATGCGTTGAACACCGATATCAGACATGAATATTTCAGAACAAAGACACCTGTGTAAATCTCTCTCGCCGACAAAAGAAAAAAGACATGCGATGCTATTAAATGAATCCAACTATTCCTATGGACCATATTATTCACATTTGGTAAAATCAGAAATTTAAAGAATCTTTAAAGAGTCGTATGTAAAACTTATATTTTGGTATGGGTTAACATGACTATCAAACATAATAACATACAGGGATGGACCGATGAGGGCAGCTGGGCAGTCACTTTCTTAAAAATTTTAAATTATCATATATTTTAAATTTTTTTATATTTTCTATTGATAATCTGATTTCATCGTTCCACTAACATAAAATTTTGCATAAATTCTTGAGAACCTATTATATCATCTTTAAATAATGGTGAAAATGAGCAATAAAAAGGATTAGGAATCTACAATCTCTTCTTCCTCTATAATGTATGATTCAATGTTAAGGGTATAAACTTTTAAAATATATTAGAAATTTAGGAGTATGAAATTAAAAAATTTTAAGGAATGTAAAACTAGATCAACAATATAAAATACAAAGAAAAAAGCTAAATTATATGAAAATTTGAAATTTTAAAAAAAATGGACTGCTCCAAAGACCACCTCTATTTATGTATCCAGCTCATACTAATTTAAAGGAAACAAGAAAAGGTCTAACTAACCTCGACTGTATTGCTCTGATCTTCGGTTTATTTTATGCATGTCTATACTCACACAAGAATCTGGTTATCATAAATATTCGATAAACTTACCACAAGTCAAGAAATTTGTCGACAGTCTCAGGAGAACCATCTTTGAAGAGTTCTATAGTTATATAGCCTTTTGATGTATTTAGAACCTGTAAAAGGAAAATGATTCAACATGGTAAAATGGTATAGAGAAACAACTAAACATGATTTATGCATTTACTCCATTGGAGGAACTTACAACATAGCCAGGCAGATCATACTTCTTTGAATCTGCAATCTCATCAACATGCTGAATCAAAAAATAAATTATTTAGCATTTTAACGAAGTACTAAAGCTGTAAATGAACAGACAATTCGATGACGAATTCGTGAACAGTTCAAGTTTTATTTATGTTCAAGAACAAATTTGTTTATGAATCACATCCAAAGCGTTTTCAAGATGTCATTTAAAGTTTGTTTTAATAGTTTATTAATGTCGACATGATTGGTTATATGTTTATAAACATATTTGTTTAGTGTTTACGGAAAAAATCGTTTGAATATAATTTTAATTTTTCTAATTTTTTTAAAAGATTAAAAAAAACTATCAAACATGAACAACGATCTGTTTGATTAAGCTGGATTTAAGTTTTGATGGGAAAAAATTACCTCATAATTTGACAATCCAGTTCCTATTTGATCCCTTGATCTGCAAGAATTAATAATTAAAATCGTTTTTCGCATAAATTAACTTTCAGATGAAATAAAAAACATATATGAAAAGCAGAGAACAAGCAAACCTTTGAGACCAATGCCTGGAAGTAGCAATCAAAGACGATAAAATCAATAGAACGATCAAGCTGCAAAAGAGAATCGTAACAACACCGATCCGAGGTGGCCTTTTCTGCATTTTGCTTTGAATTAACAAAGCCTGAGGTTTTATTCTTGCCATGAAAGCTTATCTTCAACTGTAGACAAACAAATCCCTATGAATCTGAAAATACTGAAATATTTACCCAAACCAAAAATGAAAAACAGAAACAGATTCGGAATATAATCACATCGAAGCAGATCCACTACTATTCCATCACCTGGAAAATTCGAACTGATAAAAAAAACTTTAGTTGAAAAGTTACCTTTGAAATTGATGGAGTTTGAGCTTTACCTGTTCTAAGGAGTAAGTTGGAAGACTTGGTTCAAAGGTTTGCTTTTAATCGTTTCTTAATCAGAGATTTAGGTGAAGGATTTGATTATTTTAAATGAGTCGCCATGAACGAGTCAACCAATTCCTCGCTGGAATTCGAATTTGTGGGTCTAATTTCAACGGTTGTGATCAGGAGTTTGATGTTGGCGCCATAGGTCCCACTGGCCTTACTTTTCCTCTCCTAACGCGTTAGATTTTTCTTCTTTTCAAATTTATTTGAATTCTTTCAATAAGTAGGTTAATTACAGAAAAACTTTAGACTATTGCCCAAAGTTTAATTTGATCACTAAATTTTTGAATATTTTAATTGAATCCATAAAGATGTGTATATTTGACATTTATTGGAAATATTTACCAATTTATTTTATTGCACAAAACATTCAAATTGTTCCTCAAAATTTAAATTAGTCCTTAAACTTCAAAAAAAATAAATAATTAAGACCACAAAGGATCAATCAATTCCTATCAATTTAGTTTTCAATCTAACGTTAAATTATAGTTAAAAAATTAAAAAGAATTAAATTTATATTTGACTAAATTTATTTTCAAAATTTACAAAACATACATTAACTTATATTTTGTTAGAAAAATGGATTTTGAACATTAAATGTTGTTAAGGGTGACATAGCATAAATTAATAAAAAAATATCTTATTTGACCCCTAAATTATAAACTAAATTCCATTTTGATATATATATTTTCAATATTTTTAAGTAACAAGTTCAAAAAATAAAGAAAATTTGGATTTTTAAAAATAAACAAAAACAAATTATTTTTTAAAAATCAATTTTTTTAAAAATATATATAATTTGAAAAAATTAGTTCATCAAATACATCAAACTTAACTAAATAATCAATATTTAACTTTTAATAACATATCAAATAATATATATGGTACAAACTCAATATCTATAATATGAATAAAAATAATATTTATTTTATTTACATCTATTTTGTTTTTAATTCAACAAACTTATATACAATTATTTTAGTTAAAATTAATAGTAAAATGAAATTTTAGTTACGGTTGAAGATTCAAATGAGATAAATTTTTTTATTATTAATTTAGCATATCACATCACTTATTTAATGATAATTAGTTGTATTGTGCTCATTTTGTAACAAAATTTAAAGTTTACAGAAGTCTTGAAAGTTTAATATTTAAAAAGATAATTTTAATATTGTTTAAAGATTATTTATGAATTTTATCTTATGATATTAACGGTAAATGATAATGCATGACATTCATTATCCTATTTAATATTATATATAAAACGTTTACAATATTTGACATTTGAATTTATTAATCTGATACTTCTTTAAATAACAATTATGATTATAAGTAGTAATTGATATGATTATAGTTATAAGGCTTTTAAACTTTTTTTAAAAATATCGTGTGCTTTTCGAATTATTTTTTACTTAATGTGGCATTCAAACTAAAAAAAAAGTTAATGTGATTTTTTGACCAACGATTTTTATCGGTGACTGTTACAATGCTAACATGACAGTTCACACTATTAATATAGCAGTCCATGATGGTTGACAATGTGACATGTGTTAAATTAGTTTTTTTTTATCAAGTTCAAGGATTAAATTGATTTTTTTAACTTCAATGATTTATTTAATCTTTTAAGAAGAAATATTTTAAATTTTAAATATAAATATATTTAAAAATAAATAAAATACCAAAACTTAAAAAAAATTACAATATATATATAATACTAAAAGTATTATTCATATAAATAAACATATATGAAATATGTGTTCATCAAACGTTTGATTCTAAGAATTAGTTTGGTATTGGTTTTGAGAACCTACTTTTTAAAAGTGTAGTATAAAAGAATTTTATAAAAATGCAGTTTAAAATTTAATTGATTAAAATTATTATTAAAAATTGATTTTGAAAATATAAAATATCAATTTTACACATTATATTGTAAATTAAAATATAACATTTAAATTCGATTTATACTTATTAGTACCATGATATATAAAATATAAAAATATTTTAAGATAATTCATTAATAATTTTTTATATATGGAATATTTTATTAAGAAATATAAAGTTTTTAACTGTTAATCTTTTCTGTCATGCTCTTTTTAAGTTTTGTTCTTTTATCCTGGCGGGATCTAAGCTGAGGATACCTTTTGTTTTAAATAGGTTCACGTCCTCCATGATTCACGAGTATTGTAAAAGGATTCTTGACAAACTCTCACTCGAACCCGAACAAAGAGGTCGTGCCGTACAGGTGAACAACGAAGATGTTGATTTAGATCGACGCAGACTTCCCGGTGAGTCCGTTTGTTATACGGATGCAAACCCTTTCCACGTCCGACTCCCGAAGCATGATAAGAGAAGGGTGGAAACTCAACTTCGAATGCCCAAAAAGAGAGTTAAATCGCCCTCGAGTGGAAAAACGTACAAAAGGTGACATATATATATCTTCACCCGAGAAATGTCTATCGGTCGATTCGGATTCAGATAATGTATCGGCAAAGTTGTCATCGCAATAGAATTGTAAAGATTCTGTTAAGCTTGGAAAGTTGGGTGGTGTAAGGAGCAGTCCAGGGAGCAAGAGGAGACGAAAGTCTCGATTGGTCGAAACCGTGGACGTGCAGTAGGCACTGTGACACAAAACATAGTATAGAATTTAGGGCAGTCTTCTATTGTTGCAGCAATTCAACACTTCCGCTGAAGAGCTGTGAATTGGTTTAGATTATTTGACAATGTTAGCTATGAATTTGTATTATTGGTGTAACTCAGTCGTAGGATGTTTTTTGTTCCAAATGGCTTGTATTAACACAGTACTACGACCTGTTTTCCTTGTAGATTTTGCACTCGTGTTATGTAATAATATAAACCATTTTACTTCATTAGCCACGTGGCTAATACTTTTGTCTACTGAGTCATACAACCTCCACGAGTTGCCCTGAGTTTGCCGAGTCTCCTGAGTACGTGATAAAAAGGTGAGGGCTTGAAATGATCTTAAAAATGTACTACTATCTTTGCCCATTCCTTTACGTTCAGCAACTTCAAGCTTAAAAGGAATAAAATTAGCCGTAAATCATGTTGATAATTTATAACACTCAGAAATTTTTATTGATACGAAATAAAATATTTTACAATGATACTATCTCAATATTACAATACTGCAATAATAGCTGCAGCTAGTTTAAAAACACAACCTCATTATTTTAAGCTTTACTAAACTCTCTCAATTCTCTCTATTTTTCTTTCTCTCACTCGTTACTTTGCTTTCACTCACTCTTGTATATTACACACACTACTCACTTATATATATATACTAGTAAACCGACTTATATGTTTCTACAATATTCTTGCCGCCTTATGTTTTGTTGTTATCTACTCATATTATAATTTCTAAATAATTCAAGAAGCTTCATTTTTTTATTTGACTTTTCAAACTCTTTTGTTGTTTTGTAATTCTTCTTGCCGACATGCACATATGATCCCCGTATTGCCATGTTTGTCTTCTTTATTGAGTTTGTCTTCTAACACTCCCCCTCAAACTCGATTTTCCATTCCAAGCTTTTCTTTTAGTCGGTTGAATATATCTGCTCTCAATGGTTTTGTGAAAATGTCTGCTATTTGATCTTCAGTTCTGCAGTAAATTAGCTCCACATTTTTGTTCTTCACCTGCTCTCGTATAAAATGATACTTTGTATCAATATACTTGCTTCGGCTATGGGAGACTGGATTCTTAGCAAGGGAAATTGTAGACTTGTTGTCGACATAGATTGTAATTGGTTCTTCTTGTGCCAAATTTAGCTCGTTCAAAATATTCTTTAACCACATTGCTTGGCAAGTGCACGCTGCTGCGGCTATGTATTCTGCTTCACATGTTGAAAGAGCTACCGTTTGTTGTTTCTTTGATGACCATGAAAATACTTTGACATATCTGAGGATTCTTTTTGCTGCAATCCAATGATCTTGTTTCGGATTCTCCATGAATCTGCTTACCAATCCCACAGCGTATATTATGTCTGGTCATGTGATAGTCAGATACCTTAGACTTCCAACGATGCTTTTAAACAACGTCAGATTCATTTGCTCTCTTGTTGAATTCACACTTAATTTGACTCCTGGTTCTGCTGGAGTGGCTACCGGCTTGCAATCTTCCATTCTGAATTTTCTTAAAATTTCTTCTGCATACTTCTTTTGTGATATAAATATTCCTTCTTGCATTTGCTTCACTTCAACTCCAAGAAAGTATGACATTTCTCCAATATCTGTCATTTCAAATTCTTTAGTCATAACTTTCTTAAAATCATTGAACATACCTGGATTATTTCCTGTGAAAATCATGTCGTCCACATATAAGCACACGATCATGATATCACCGTCTTCATTTTTCTTTGTGTATAAAGCATGCTCATATAGACTCTTCATGACCCCATTTCTCTGGAAATATTCATCAATTCTCGTGTTCCATGCTCTCGGGGCTTGCTTCAGACCATATAGAGCTTTCTTCAATCTGTAAACTGTCTTCATGTCCCTTTTTAATGTATCCAGGTGGTTGCTCAATATAAACTTATTCTTCTAGGTAGCCATTTAGAAATGCTAACTTCACATCCATCTGGTAAATTTTCCATCCTTTTTGTGCTGCAACTGTTGTGAGAAGTTTAATGGTCTCGATCCTTGCTACTGGAGAAAATACTTCATCATAGTCTATTCCTTGTCTTTGCTTATAGCCTTTGACAACTAGCCTCACTTTGTGCTTCTCGACCTTTCCTTCTTTATTGGTCTTTTTCTTGTAAACTCATTTTACTCCAATTGGGTTATGACCTTCTGGTTATCTTGTTAGCTCTCATGTATTATTTCTTTCTATTGATGTAACTTCTTCATCCATTGCATTCCTCCATTTGTCATCTTCAACCGCTTCTTCGTATGTTATTGGATCACTGTTCACAAGTAAGCAGAAAAGTGAAACATTATTTAGTTCATAATCGTTGTACCTTTCTGGCATTCTTCTCTCTCTTGTGGATCTTCGAACTTCTGTGGGAGGTACTTCAGGATCTTCTATTATGTTGCTGGCATCGCTGCTGCTGTTTGACGACGATGGTACATTTTGTTGAGGACCTTGATCATCAGCTTGTTCATCTTGATTGATAAGATCATCATCTTTAAAAAGCAGTCCTTCAACTTTCTTTTCCTCTTTGCTCCATCTCCAATAATCTGCTTCATCGAACTCAACATCTCTTGAAATTATTATCTTCTTTGTAAGAGGATTATATAATCTGTAAGCTTTGCTCCTTTCATCATAGCCAATGAAAATACATTTTTCTTCTATGTCATCAAGCTTCTTTCTGGTCTGTTCAGGAACGTGGGCATATGTGATGCATCCAAAAATATTGAGGTGTCCAACTCCTGGTTTCTGTCCATTCCATGTTTCGTTTGGTGTCATATACTTCACGCTTTTTATTGGACATTTGTTCAATAGGTAAACTGCACATCAAACTACTTCAGCCTAGAAATTTCTCGGTAGTTGCTTGCCTTTTATCATGCTTCTTGCCATGTCCAGGATTGTGCGGTTCTTTCTTTCTGCAACTCCATTTTGTTGTGGCGTGTATCTGGCTGTCAGCTGATGGATGATGCCATGTTCTTTGCAGAATTCTTCAAATAACTTTGATGTATATTCGACTCCTCTATCTGATCTGAGTATCTTCAAATATTGACCGCTTTGTTTTTCCACCATTGCTTTGAATTCTTTCAATTTTTCCAGCGCTTCTGACTTTTCTTTCAATATGTAAATCCAACATTTCCTACTAAAATCATCAATAAAAGTTAGGTAGTACCTGTTACCTCCAAGCGATGATATGTTAAAAGGACCGGCTATATCTGTGTGTACTATCTCCAGCGGTCTTCGGGCACGCCAGGATCTACCAACTTCAAAGCTTTGTTTATGTTGCTTTCCTTTGATGCAAGCCTCACATAATTGATTTAGAGGGTTGATCTCTGGTAGACCTTTCACCATGCTTGTTTTTTATGACAGCTTCAAACCAGAAAATCCAAGATGTCCATATCTTAGATGCCACAGTCATGAATCATCTTTGATTGCGGTCTTTATGCACTTGACTTCTCCCAACTTGATATCAATTGTAAAGAGACGATTTCGAGTCATATCAGCTTGGGCTATCAATTCTCCTTCTTTATTTTTGATGGCAAGCGAGCGGTTCTTCATCTACACTTCATATCCTTTTTACAGGAGTTGACCAAGATTGATGATATTGCTTTTCAAAGCAGGTACATAATAAACATCTGAAATATATTTCTTTTCTCCATTTCACTGAGTAATCATGACTTCGCATTTTCCTTTTATTTCTGCATGCGAGTCATTTCCGAACGTTACTCGCCCATGAACTGTTTCATCTAATTTCACAAACAGTTCCATTTGACCACATATATGGTTGCTGGCACAATTATCAAGATATCAAATATTTTTCTTGAATTCCTCATTTCCTTTATAAGTGAGGAATACATGAGATTTTTCAATTTTTTCTTCTTGAGCTGCTGCTACGTTATTTCTTTCTTTTTGTTTAGGAGCAGATCTACACTCATAACTATAATGACCATACTTATTGCAATTATAACATTGTACCTGGAATTTACTTCCTTGTTGATATCTGCCCATATCTCGGCCTCTGAATCCTCGTCCACGGCCTGATATTGGATTGCTTTCACTTATTTGAACGGTGCTATATGATCGGCCACCACGTCCACGAGTTGCTCGTCCTTCTCTGTATCTTCCACGATAACCGCCATGATTTCCTCGACCTCGTGTGTAGCTGCTGCTAGCTTCTCCTTCGTTGACATTCATCTTTCTTTGTAGAGCTTGCTCTAAATTTTCTGAATATTCATTTTGTTTTATTTTCTGCTCATGGGCTTGAAGTGAACCCACAAGCTCATCAATCGATATTTGGGATAAATCTTTCGATTCTTCGATTTCCACCACCACGTAATCGAATTTTCTTGTCAATGACCGCAAATTTTTTTCCATCACTCTAACATCATCGAGTGATTCACCATTTCTTTTCATTTCATTTAAGACCGCTTTCACACGGCTAATATAATCATCAATGTTTTCTGTATTTTTCATTTTTAACATCTCAAACTCAGCTCGGAGAGTTTGTAAGCGTACATTTTTTTGCTTTTTCGGCACCTTATAGAGATTTTTGCAAAATCTCCCACGCTTGTTTTGCGGTCTTCGCATCAGAAATTTTTTCAAAGGTAGATTCGTCAACTCCTTGAAAAATAAAGAACAATGCTCTTTTATCTTTTCTCCGGGATTCCTTCAATACTTTCTTTTCTTCATTGGCCAGGGCTGCTTTTGTTGCTGCATTTTCAGGCTCGGTGTAACCATCCTCGATGATATCCCAACAATCTTGGGAGCCTAGTAACACCTTCATTTGAATGCTCCAATTGCCGTAATTCGTCTTTGTCAATCTCGGGATTTGAGGTTGAATCATGTTGGCCATCTTCTCCACCACGTTGAACTCGAACCAAGCTCCGAGGCCACTTGTTGAAAACGTAGATGGGCTCACGAAAATTTATAACACTCAGAAATTTTTATTGATACGAAACAAAATATTTTACAATGACACTACCTTAATATTACAATACTGCAATACTAGCTGCAACTAGTTTACAAACACAACCTCACTATTTTAAGCTTTGCTAAGCTCTCTCAATTCTCTCTATTTTTCTTTCTCTCACTCGTTACTTTGCTTTCACTCACTCTTGTATATTACACGCACTACTCACTCATATATATATATATACTAGTAAATCGAGTTATATGTTTCTACAATATTCTTACCGCCTTATGTTTTGTTGTTATCTACTCATATTATAATTTCTAAATAATTCAAGAAGCTTCATTTTTTTATTTGACTTTTCAAACTCTTTTGTTGTTTTGTAATTCTTCTTGTCGACATGCACATATGATCCCCATATTGTTATTGAGTTTGTTTTCTAACAAATCAACAATTTAATGATATTTAAAGAATCATTGGGTTGTTGATGTGGAAATTAAAAGAGTAATAATTTAAAAATTTCACAATTACCGTTAAAAATAATAAAAAATCACATCAATATTATTATTAATTTTTTAACTATGTATTATTAAAACATAAATAAAACAAAATGTTGATTTAAAAAAATAATTGGATGACCAAAAAAAATTAAGTAATAAATGTGTGGTTAAATAGGGAATTTACCCAATAAATTATTGGTAAACAACATTGGAAATCCAAAAAGAAAACTAAAATATTAGTAGTTGTTGGCATTTACTCTAGTTTTGGTGAATTATGACGTGTGGCAGTTTTAATATAGGACTAATAATGTTCTATCAATTTTATTATTATTTAAATAATAAAATTGATAAAAAAATTACTAAAATTAATATTATTTTTAACGATTTTATTAGCGTTTTATTGGTTTTGGGAAAGTGGTATTCAGTTCCCTACGGGCATTCCCACCTTGAGCCCCAAAAGATCAAATCTCATCCCCCTTCTTTATAAACTTCCCCATTTCTTTATCTTCTCCAACAGAGTTTGAAAAAAGATTGAAACTGTTCAGTAAACAATGTCAAACAAGTCACCAATCTTCCCAATGCCACAACATCACCACTTCAATGACTATGGTTTTCATCCCCAAAGCCACCATTTCCAGGTTCTCAAATTCCTCCCAAAGCTTCTCTCTTTCCTCTCATTGCTTCTTTCTTTACTAACCCTTTTCTTGTTTTCGCTCAAAAACAAGAAAAAGCCAGGTTTTGGAACAATCAAGGAACCACAAGAAAGATACGACAAGAACAGTTGGTGTTGTACAGTTCAAGCTTCAAAAACCCTTTTCAGAAGACGACCAAAGCAATCCACAAAAGGCTAAAACGAAGGGATATTGGTGGAGAAACGCCCTCTTGTTCTTCAGTAGGAAGAAATGGGCTTCTAATGACGATGATCCAGGGAGTGTTAAAGCTTCAAGGGGTTTGGTTTTGGGACCCCTTTACATGACCGACGCCGGCGGAAGTGATTGGACCTCTCCTGGTCGAACCATTAGGCAGTCGCATTCCAGCCCTTTGGCAGGAATCTCAACCCCTTATATTAGTCTCAAGGAAGTTAACATGGAACAACAACAATACAGAGTTTCTACATCTTCCTTGCCTATATATGTAGTCACTTAAAACCCATTTTTTAAAGCTTAGTTCATCATTCATTTTGGGTTGTGGAAACCGGAAAATTGCGAAGTGAAGTGTTTCATAAGTTCCTTTTAATGGATGAGATGATTTGGTCCTCCATTTTTGGTTTGATTTATGCAAAACTAATGAACTCCTGTTTTGAATTAAGATTTATTGCTGGTATCTTTCCTCCTTCCACTTCTGAAATCATTTTAAGTGCAACCATTTATCTGTCCTGATCTAGGGATGAACACGTTATTTTATCTTATCTTAGAGGATTAACTTATACAGTTCAAAACACACACAGTATTTTATCTTATCTTAGAGGATTAACTTGAACAATTCAAAAGACGTAAATAAATTAACAATAAAAAATACAAATAAAATTTAAGTGAGAATTTGAATTTTTCCACCTTCTCGTTTGCATTTCTCGGTCCATCCCTACGTGGACCTATTTTGAGAATCGATTGGACCGGTGAATGTGGGATTATTGTCAAAAGATGATGCCCGACGACCAGGGCAAGTTGCATGTGGATCATCATTCCATGTCTTAAATTGAATGTCTGATCAAATCTTTTGAGTTATTACAAGGGAACATCATTAAAATGTAATGGAACATGGAACTAAAGACTGTTTTAAGGCATGCTTGCTTGCTTACAGTTTTTGTCTGCAAGTTCTGCTTCTTCGATAGGCTCAGAATTTCTGGGGCTTTGTCTTCTTATCTCGTTCACAAGAAGAATTACACATTTGCAAGTGAAGAACACCATCATCAATCCAAGTGAAAACACCAAAATGAATTCAATCACTATAACCGATTCCAGAGCTGTCGCCACCAAAACCCCAACAGTTTGATAATCAGTTTATCACTTCGAATCTGTATTCGGCACATATCCGGACATAACTATAAGGATATGGGGAAGAACAACTTACTACGAATTGTCGATGAGCTCATCGGTTTCCCTTTGATCAGATTTACGGTAGCCTCCACGACCAAAGGCTTCGTTATCCTATCGATACAATCGGAGTGACATCCATAACGTCCTAAATCGTTTACTTTCACTGTTAAAACCGCAGCGTCATGTCCTCCTCCCTGAAAGAAAGACCAGATGATTAATCCAATCCTTCCCTATGTACATATAGTAGCTGCAGAATATGATAAGTTTTACGTAGTAGGATAAGTGTTGCATGACTGTGTTGCAATCGATGATCGATGCTCGGAATCTTATTCCGATAGCTCTGACTACGAACTGTTTCGAGATGGTAACATATGTTTGAAGAGGTTGCCATTGATAACTGTTCTTCGACTTCAGTTCAGTCGAATCTACAAGAGCAGCCGGTAGTGTTGCTAGCAAATATCCATCACTAACTTCCATCGAAAACGCCAGTTCAAAGCCTGACTCACCCCCTAAAATTTTGAATCAGCACGGTGTTACTCGGACTCGAGTATTGTGTCCTAATCGTAGTTTAAGCATTTCAAAGACTTACCAGTGACATTAAGAACATCCGGATCACCGATGGAGAACGGAAACCGATCTGTTTCTTTGTTGAACAACAAAGATTCATCCCTAGTGTTCTTCAACACAATGAATTCAGGAACGTTAACATATGGAGGATCATTAATGGGATCCACTACTACTTGAACATCCAAGTCATTAACTCCATTTCGGTTCCTGGCCGATACTCGAAGGGTGTCGTTCCCCGAAAAATTCCCATTCCTTGTATGATGAAAGTCATTGGAAAGTTATATCCTTGTATTCATGTCCGAAAATTGGAAAAAAAGTACAGGTAAAACAGAAAACATGCAATCGAATTCGATGATTAGTACCCAAGATACTGAATTGACTGAAGGGAAAAATTGATCACTTCTAAACGTCCTTCAATGGTCAGATTGGTTCCTTTCTCGTCTCCTTTATTCACAGAAAATTCACTCCAAATCGGCTGCCAAAACTGCATTGACATAGTTGATAGAAATATTGTTCCATACATGGCACTGAGAATGACCGAGATATTCTCTGTCGGATCTGAATATTTCAATTCGAAGCCATTGTAACCACTGCAAACAGTGAGCTAAGAGTTCAGTTCTTGTGAAAAACAATGACTGATACGAGCCATGAATTCGAGACAAAGCATGAACTATACCCGAATCTCGGACTTATGAGATCTTCAGTTGCCTGCAATTGGCTTGGAAAAGAAACAAACTGAGGTGGAATGGTGAGTACAGATATTTTGACAGTAGCAGTAGCAAGGTCACCATTGATGTTTGATATTGTATATAGGAAAGAATCATTCCCAAAATAGTCTTTATAAGGTGTATATCTAAAGAGCATTCCATATTGCAGAAGTGAACCGTGAATTGGCTGCAAAAAACATAATATTGCATGTTAACAGGGAGTAAGAGCGGAAAAGATTCTCGGAATTTGACATCGATTGAATTTCAACCTTACTTTTGAGAATTCGACAACGCTTGCATTGGCACCAGCAAAGTAGTCATTTTCCAACACATCGAACGCGATTGACTCGTCCTCCCAAAGGGAGATTATATCATCATATGCTTTAGGAAAATATTCACCTGTCAGGCATTAGAAGCAAAGATTTGTATCATCATAGTCTTGTGTATCATAGTCTTGTGTTACTTGAATAACACGGCAATGCTAACTTACTTCCGTACACGTTAATCGCGAAAGGGCAGGGCGAGAAATGGTTTCCTTCGAACAATACACACATCTCGTAAGTGCCGACTTCCATGGCAAGATAGTGACCTATGTATGAACCATCATTGTTATCCACAAACATCCAGGTCGAGAAACCTGGCTTCTCAACTGAAGTAAGCACTATTCTTAGCTTCGAAGTTTCAGAAACAACGGGATTTGAAAACAAATCCATCAACTGTACTACTATTTCATTTCGAACCAGCTTGGGTGCCTTGGGAGCAAATTTCACCACTCCTGAGACTGATATTAACTTGACCTGTCAGTAAAAAAGTATAAAATCATTCAGTTTCCAAGTACAATCATGTGAACCATATCAAACTAGATGAGGCTCGGGAGGGTTCGAGTTTTTGAGGTTTGAATCCGTAACATAAACTCGAACAATTGTACCTGGTTTTACTTCCTTTGTGAATGGACTACCATCATTTAGGATAATATTTCCACAAAACACATAAATTCTATAGATCCCACTCTTCTGAGGAGTATACATGACATTGAATGCAGTAGCCCAAACTGTCAAGCTTCTAGGAGACTGAGTTTAGAATCAAACTGTCATTAAAATCTCAAACATACATAAATACATGCATGCATACATGATACGTGCATACATGCATACATACATACAGAGTTACAGAAAAAAACGCAGTTCTTACAGTGTTGTTTAGGCCCGTGGATGGAACAGGAGCAAGTTTGGTTTCACTTGTAGCAATGTCGGGCAATTCTCCTGCTAAGATAAGTCTGTTTATTAAATTAAATGAAACCGAAACGTGGGTAAATTGCTTGAACATACATACCATTACTGATCTGTGTAGGATATATAGTAGGCAAGACGGATGTGGAATCGATTTTCCTTTCAATTTCTACTTGAAGTCTTTCTACTTCCACCGGGGACGGATACTGGAAGGCGTCGCGGAGATAAACCGAAAACTGTGCCACTTCCCCAGAAACAGAAGTATTTAAACCAGTCCCATTGACGATACTCTCTACTCCATCGCAATAACCTATTCGAATAGGTGTCGGACATTGATACTCAAGGAAAAATATGAATCCGGGTAACATAGAAGTAGAATGAACAACCTCAAGTAACGCACCTACAAAGACAGTATAAGCAAATGGCATATAGGAAATGCTTTTGTTGTGCTTCATATCAGAAATGGTAAGCAAGAAGTTCCCTGCTTTCGACATGCTGAAAGAAAACAGCTGAACCCCGGGTTCTACTTCTTCGAACTGCAAATCCGTTACAGGAATCGACAAATTCGTATCTTCCTCAATAACATCTGCGTCAAATTCATACAATCCCGGAACAAGGTTCCGGTATCGATCTTGCTGGTATACAAGTATTTCCATCTTGGAAAAGATTTGCCATGCATTGAATTCAAATCTCCATTTGGCCGCACAATTGGAGACATCTAAAGGTCCTGCAAAAGCCGGATCGAGTTTAGGGATACATGTTAAACTCGTATCTAACACTTACACTCGAGTCCGAGTAACATTAAAGTAAAACAAATCACCTGGATTTACCTTGAATGGTAATGGAGAGCCATTCAAGGTCTGGTTTGCTCCTTGGATATTCAACAGGAAGTTTCCTGCTATAACAACCATGAACTCCATTATGATATAACCAAATTCATTCCAAGCCATGGACGTGATATTTAATAAACTCGAAACCGAGCCATTTTCATGGAGAGCAGTCACCGAGATGTTATAAGAACTCGGTTCTTTGTCCGTCGAAGTTATGTTATTTCCGAATGCGTCTTTCAGAAGAATCAAAATCGGAACTGTCGAACCAGCTTCGAATTCATCCCAGAATGCTAACCAGGAAGCAACACTGACAGAAGGGTACACAGGACCTGGTTCAACAGTGAAATGAAGAGAAGAATCCATAACTTTGAAAGGGTCATCATTGATGATGACATTGAATAAACCTGCAAGGATTGGGACAAAGACAATCTGCCAAGTACTAGGATCGCCATTGATGTCAAGAAAAACACCAGATATGTAAGAACTGTTCCCTGTCTTCCCATTCACTGTAATAAAGGGATTGAAAGCAGTTCTATTGAGTGAAGCATTTGCTTTACTATCGAAATTCCCCAGGACTTTGATTTTGATAGTTGCAGTTTCACCAGCTTTGAATACATCCTTGTCATCCAACCAACTGAATGCAAATTGTGGTACTAATGCAGAAGAAGATGAGAATAATGTGAGGGTTGAAATTAAAATTAAGTGAAATTTGGCCGTCATGATTAAAGAAATTCAAAAGATTGTTGCCATTGGTTCTTTTCTTGAGGAATATAAATGATGACAGTTATTGAAAGGGTTGTTTATCACTTGTTTGACACGCGTTGTTAAGATTAAACTAGGCCATTGGATTTCTGTAACGGTTACTGACAGTTGCTGGCGGTTGCTGGCGGTTGCTGGCAATAACTATAGAAGATTTATATCTAAACTTTGGTTACCAACAATATGCATGTATTTTGCATCATGAATCATTAGTATGTTGAGAGGTTTGACGTCGCAGTGGATGACTTGGACGTGACATTCTTCGTGCAAGTAAAAGATCCCTCTGGGCCTCTGGCTATGTTCAATATTGTCGTAACCGTCTTTCGGTTGGACCCCGGAATTGGGCTTCGACTTAGGAAAAAGTGGATTGGAGTCGCCACCGATCATTTATTTAAAAATAAATGGGTTGACCGGGTACCTTATTTCTTACCTAATCTGCGTCTTACCAAAGATGTGTCGGATTCGGGAGTCGGTTACAGTCAAGGAAGGGTTAGCACCCTTGAACTGCCCTTTCGGTACTGTGTAATTTCCAGTTGTCTTTAATTAAGAAAATCGTAATTTTAAATTGGAAGGTAAAATATCGATCCGATTACTTACAATTGATTGACTTGAAAGTGAACCTTTTAGGAGCCGAACGTATATTAGAAAAGGTGATGAAAATGAATTAAAATTGAAAGATAAAGAAAACGAAACAAAGAACAAAAATAACAATAGATGATACACCAAAAGTAACATAATCGTCATGGAGATATAGAACATGAAGGAAATAAAAATGAAGACAAGTATGACAACATGTGATATGATAAAAAAGAAAGAATAAAGAAATAAGAAAACAAGACCCAATAAAACGGAAAAAAGAAAGGAATAAATAAATAAATAGAACATAATAAAGGTGAAATAAGATAGTATATAAATGTAAAGCGATAAGAATTAAATAAAACGTACATATGTATATAAAAAATGTAAAATAGTAGCGTATAAGGTAAAATTAATAAAAAAAAACATATAATAGTATTAATTCCATATATATATAATAGCTAAATATGAGAGAGAGGGAAAAATATATAATAATAATAGAAAAATTAAATAATTATAGTAATACAAAAGTAAGGAAATAATAAGATAAAATACAAAACATATATATATAATAACGTTTAAACAAGATATTAGTATAAAACAAAAAGAAAGATGCAAAATGAAATGAAAATAAAAAGAAGTACGAACGATAATATATCTACGTGTATATATAAGAAATAATGAAAAATGGTATAATATAACAAATAAATAAACACCAAAAAAATAAATATATTTTAGTATGTATATATATAATAAGGATCGGGATGAAAAGAAAAGCAAATCAAGTGGCCAATTTGAAAGTAAATCGGAATTTAAAATCGGATTTGGGACCAAAATAACGAGCCTTCAAGGAAGGAGGGACCGAAAGAGTAGTTTACCCTAATTTATTACCAAAAACACGGATCTGATATAAGCCTGGATCAAAAGTTTTTTAGCTTCATTTTCTCTCCTTCCCACCGAGAGCCTCTCCTTCTCTCAATGCTTTCTTTCAAATGTTCATCCAGAAAGATGAACACGCCGTCGTGGGGTTCATGTGAACCCAGATTCCGGCACCGCGCCACCTCGCCGGCCGCCGTCATCGGTGGCAAAATCGAAAAAAGTTTTTATTTTTTTAAAGCTCTCGGTGCCCTCGTTTTGAAAACCTAAACAGTTTTCTCAAAAACAAAGCCTCAGGGTATGAATCTGGGTTCGAGAACTTCGGAAACCCCCCTGTTCATCGGTGTTTTTAGCGTATTTTGAGTATATAAGAAAAAGAAAAAGAGAAGCAAACGGGCGAGCATGCAAAATAACTACCAAAAGGTAAGAACTTTACCTATTGTTCTCTCGAAAATTTGCAAAAGAAAAAAGCTCTGTTTTTGCTAAAAATTGCTAGTAACCTTCTTCTTGTATTTTGTATCCAAAAAATCCCCTCCATACTGTTGATTACATGCGTCTATTTATAATACAAAATATTGTCCTATTTTTAGTGTTTTGATCCGAGTGAAACTCGACTTGTTGGTAGATGAGAGTCCACGATTCTGATGAGGTCGTTTTTTTGGTGTTTCATGTGATCACGACGCCGAGAAAACCGGCTGTGGAGGTGCGTGAGGCGCGAGGGAACTCTGACCAAGGAAGTTGTGGCGCGAGATGAAACTCTGACCAAGGGAGTTACGGCGCGAGATGAAATGCTTGCTAGGGTTCTGGAAGCATCAGTTGGGTCCGGGTCACTTGGGTTTGGTCCACTGTTGGGCCCTGAAAAAGAAAAAAATGTAAATATAGTATAATTTATAATATAAATATATATATTATATAATATAAGGATGAAATTTAGTGTATTCAGCTGCCCCTCTTTGCTCATTGTCGTGTAACGAAAATAGAGCAAAGATTAAAAGACATAAATTTCGTCCCTATCGAATATCCTCTGTCGTAGAGTTGAAATTTGATGTTGAGACTGTTTTTTAAAACACGAGATGACTCCCTCGTCGTGAGGTTGAGTTAAAACTGGAAGATTCTGAGCCTGAATCATTCGTCGTGAAATTGAAATTGAACTCGTGAAGTTGAAATCGAACTCAGAGTTCTGGAGGTAGCTCATGGATCGTCTTCTAGCCAAAGATACTTCGTTGTGAAGCTGAAATTGGGAAATTGTTTATTGACAACCAGCGGTCCCTTCGTCATGAAGTTGAACTTGCGTTGTCTGGAGTCCAATATCCTTCGTTGTGAAGTTGAAATTGGCTCTGAATTTGAGAAATGTTTGTTGACAACCAGTGGTCCCTTCGTCGTGAAGTTGAACTTGCGTTGTCTGGAGTCCAATATCCTTCGTTGTGGAGTTGAAATTGGCTCTGAAATTGAGAAATGTTTGTTGACAACCAGCGGTCCCTTCGTCGTGAAGTTGAACTTACGTTGTCTGGAGTCCAATATCCTTCGTTGTGAAGTTGAAATTGGCTCTGAATTTGAGAAATGTTTGTTGACAACCAGCGGTCCCTTCGTCGTGAAGTTGAACTTACGTTGTCTGGAGTCCAATATCCTTCGTTGTGAAGTTGAAATTGGCTCTGAAATTGATAAATGTTCGTTGACAACCAGCGGTCCCTTCGTCGTGAAGTTGAACTTGCGTTGTCTGGAGTCCAATATCCTTCGTTGTGAAGTTGAAATTGGCTCTGAAATTGATAAATGTTCGTTGACAACCAGCGGTCCCTTCGTCGTGAAGTTGAACTTGCGTTGTCTGGAGTCCAATACCCTTCGTTGGGAAGTTGAAATTGGCTCTGGGTAAAACCTGCAAAGATAGGCATATATGTGATGTTATGGATGTCATGCTCTTAGGTATGCCTAAAATGCATATGCAACATATGTTATTCTGGGCTCTGGAGAGTAATCTCGATCTCCGGTGGCCTGTCGTTGTTGACTTTTGAGCTTGAAGTTCCGATCTCTGATCTTGAATTCTTCAAGCATGTGCATGAGCCTTGATCGGCTTCTGGGTACCTGTACTTTTCCATGAATCTTTGTACAGTAATATGCGATTATCTTTCATAAAAATAAATAAACCATTAGGTTTAAATCTAATTCAAGATGCTCAAAAGGAATTGGAGGAAAGATGGTCTTTATTCATAAGGGAGGAGAAGAACAAATAATACATGGCAAACATTCTAGAAAACGAATACACAATGATGTGTAAATGAATGTCTTAGATCTCGATAACGTGGGCACTTCTGAGTTGAAAAGCCGTTTGGTGACTTTGAATGCAGCCTTTGCCAAAGGATCTTTGAAAATGCGACAACGTTTGGGAGAGTGCAACATTTCTCCGACTTGTTGAGTTCGTAGAAGATTCATGTGCCGGGATGTTTCCACCGTTGATATCCAAATCGCCCTTTCCGGGTTTTCAACTTGGACCCATCCTTAGTTGCAAGACGCCCTTTTGCGGGTTTTCATCTTGAACCCACCTTATTTTCTCTTCTTTTTCCTCTTTTTTCTTTTTTTAATTTAGGGCGCCCTTTCGGGTTTTCACCCCAAACGTTTTTCCTTTTTTTTTTTTTTTTTTTTTCAACTTAGGACGCCCTCTTGGGTTTTCATCCTAAGCGAAGTATTTCTTAACTGCGTCCGAGTTAATGGGATGTGGCAGTTCAGGTCCGTCCATTTCAGCCAGGATAAGGGCTCCTCCGGAGAAAGCCTTCTTCACGACATAAGGTCCTTCCCAATTTGGCGTCCATTTTCCTCGGAAATCTTTCTGGACTGGCCAAATTCTTTTTAGCACTAGATCCCCTTCACGGAATATTCTCGGGCGCACCTTTTTGTCGTGTGCTCGGATCATTCGTTTCTGATAGATTTGACCATGATGAATGGCTTTCAGTCTTTTTTCATCTATCAGATTAAGCTGATCATATCTGGATTGCGCCCACTCTGCATCATCTAGTTTGACTTCTGATAAGACCCTGAGAGACGGGATCTCGACTTCAATGGGTAGCACTGCTTCCATTCCATAGGCTAGTGAAAATGGAGTTGCCCCAGTCGATGTACGTACCGAGGTTCGATAAGCGAACAAAGCAAAAGGCAACTTCTCATGCCAGTCTTTGTAGGTTTCAGTTGTTTTCTCCACTATCTTCTTAATATTTTTGTTTGCTGCTTCTACTGCTCCGTTCATCTTTGGTCTGTAAGCAGTGGAATTGTGATGTTTTATGTTGAACTGTTCGCAAGCAGCACTCACCATCTTGTTGTTCAAGTTTGTTGCGTTATCGGTGATAATCCTTTCAGGTAGACCATACCGACATATAATTTCTTTCTTCAGAAACTTGCAAATAGTGGATTGAGTGACACTGGCGTATGACGCAGCCTCTACCCATTTCGTGAAATAGTCAATTGCTACGAGAATGAAACGGTGACCATTCGAAGCCTTCGGATGAATTTGCCCGATAACG